CCGGACATGTCCGGGAAAAACCGGACGTATGGTAACCCTAGGTCACCTCCTGACCCTACTCCGGGGACAGGCGCTTGGGAACAGCCAGGCCGGAGCATCCCAGCGCCCCTCTCGTGTGGGTCCTGCCTCCCACAGCAGCTGGCCCCCGATATTGGGACAGGAACATCCACGGACTAACCTGCCCCCAGAGGAGCCCCCCCCTATGACCACTCGGTGTGGGGCTGGCTCAGGCCCAGAAGGAAGCAGGGGGGTTAGAGCCCTTCTGCTGGGTCCCCCCTGTGCCATAGCCCAGCAGGGAGCGCGTGTAGACGGGGGGAAGGGGGGCGGGGTTTATTGCACTCTATCGCTGTATCGTCTAACCCTGCTCTGCCCCAGCTCTGCCCCAGCTCTGTGCCCCAGTGGGGTGAGCCGGGCTAGTGCAGACAGGGCACCAGAGATCGCTCGAGGGGTGTGAACAGGGCCGGAGTGAATGTGGGAAGAAGCCCAGAGCTATTTGCAAAACCTCCCCTTGCTGCATTGTCCTGGCTCGGAGGGACCCTGTGTGGGACGGTTTGGGAAGGAGAAAGGGTGTGGGGGTGTCTAGTAACTGATACACCAAGGGGAGCCAGAGCACAGCCGGCACCTGCCCCAGGTACCCCACCATCTCCCCCTCCCTGGGGTACCAGATCCCATCACTGGCACGTCCATCCCCAGACAGCGACCTGTCCCGGCCCAGCCCTGTACCGAGCCCCAGAGTGTGATTTTCTCTTTCCCTGCACAGGTTCCCAGCTGCAGATAGTCACAGATCCCTCCTCCCGGGCCCTGCTGGGTTCTGGGGCACTGCTGGAATGTCGGTTCGACGTCGGGGGGCCGATTGATCTGACCTCCCTGCGGGTTCAGTGGTATCTGTGGAAAGAGAAGATCGCGCAGTACGACCAGGGCAGGGGAGAATCCCAGCCCGGAGCGAGCGTGTCGGAGCAGGAGTTGGAGAACGGGAACGCATCCCTGTCGCTCTCCAATGTGATGGTGTCGGATGAGGGGCTGTATAAATGCGTCGTTGGTTACGGTACGGAGCAGCTGCAGGGAGAGACGACCCTCCGTGTGCTCGGTAAGGACAGGAGAAGAGCTCGGACGTTCCCTGGCTGGGAACTGAGGACTGGCTGTTCCTGTGTTGGTCCCACAATCCAGCAGGTGGAGGAGGGGGTGGGGTGAGGACTCCTGCCCCCGGATGTAATTCCTTCAGGGGGAATCCAGCTGCCCAACTGGTACGTGAAGTGCACTCACACAGCTGAGTGCCAGGTTCTGCTGCCCACTCGCTTCCTGCTCCTAAGAGATGTGAGCCGGGGAAATTGGAACCCAGCCCCCTCCTGCCCTGCCCGGCACTGACACCTTCTGTACCACGCACCTCAGTCACCGTGTCTGACGCGCCTTCCTACATCCTACTGGGGTAGAACCTCACAGTGACCCGGGGTGTTTCGTGCCCCACAATACTGAATTGGGGATATCTGTGTAACTTACACTCAGATTGGCTCATGGGGGTAACCCAAAATTATCACATATATGTCGAGACACAGCTCAATGACTGTCTCTCTCATTCCAGCTGCTCCCCGTCTCTCCATCCCCCAGCGATTGGCCAGGACAGACGCAGCGACCTCCTTCCCCTGCCACGTGTGGGGATTCTACCCCGGGGACGTCACCGTCACGTGGCTGAGAGACGGGCGGGTTCTGACCGACGCCACCCGCTCTGCCCCCCAGAGGAA